GCCTCTGTGTGGGAGGCAGCTCTGACTCTGGAAACTCACTATTCTCCCCGTGGCAGGATATGCTATTGACTCCCACTGACTGGAGTTTTGTTCTCACAGCTGTGGGAGCCTGGTAAAACGTGCAGTCATTTCCTCTCCACTCAGGCAGTTCTGAGAATTCTGGCCCTTGAGGAGAATTTCACCTACATCTTCACTTCTAAACCATCAAGGGTTCTTTTCCACTGAGGTGGTAAAACCCATGGTCTCTGAGCTTGGGCTTCAGTTCTAGCTGAGGAAGATTTGGAGGAGGGGCAGGTTTCCTGAGAGAAGGTAGTGTTTGCATGAAGAGGCTGGGCAGCCTGCAGTGATGGGGTGCGGAGAGACGGACGTCTGAGGCACGGCGGGGACAGAGGGCAGGGATGCAGCAATCATGGCACCACCAATGAAGGACCCACCCCAACCATGATTCCCCAGGACTCTTGTCTGACCTTAAGAACAAACAGGACCAGGATTACATTTTCTAAGAGGCAGGCAGGTGAAGGCTAGAAATAAATTTATCTGGTTTAGAAGTAAAAGAATTTCCTTGCATCTGAATGACATGGGTAAAATTTCTACCTGCCCCAAACTAAAGTGGATGCCACATCTTGGAAAGGTTTTCAATAGCTGCAACCAGCCAGCTGAAACCTGGTATCACTCAACAAATAAGATAAAATGTGCACCTTCCCATAACAGTCCCACTAACTAAAACAGCTTTAGACCTAGAAAGAGCTACGAGACTTGGCATTTATACAACCTGAGCCCAAAACACACAGATCATGCTGTTTGTGGCTGCTGATAATGCTAGTAAATGCTTTATGTAGCAAGCCTTCAACCAAAACATGTCCCCCTACTCTGTCCCTTGGGGACAGATTGAGAGGATGTTCTTGTCTTGGGGTAAGAGCTGCCACTGAGGGCAGCTACAAACACCCAGCAGGAAGTCCCTGGGTTGCATCGGTCCCTGTACTACTTGGGCCCCATCGTTCTCTCAAGGGAGATGGCCCCAGACGAGCAGTCCGGGGCTGCATTTGGGCCTGCGTCAGTAGGCAGTGGNCTGGGGTGCCACGTTGTTGCCACGATGGCCACCTCAGGATGGCTGGCAGAAGCTCTGCTGGTAGGTAGTGCTTTCATGGGGAGGTGGGATCTGCACAAAGTGGACAAGGCGCTGAGGGAGGTCACTGAGTCCTGGGCCTGACCGGAAATTGGCCTGGTAGGAGGATTCAAGGGGCCGCTGCTTGTGGAACTCCAGCTCACAGGGTGCCCAGCGCAGGAAGGTGTGTCGCTGCCACAGGCGTTCCAGGTCTTTCCACCTTCTGACTCCCTGCAGCAGGCAGTAGGGGCCCTTCTCAATTGTATGGGCCCTTGGCCCTCAGTCCCGGCATCAGACATTGCCTTGGGCACCTCCTAAACCCAAGCCTGCTTGGTGATGCCTGGCCTGTTCCTGGCCTCCTTGGCCTGTACCCCAGCCTTTGTGGCCAGCCATGCATTTCATTCCAGGGTGAAGCCCCCAGAAAGTCAGTGGCCCCTACGATATTTGCACATTGTCAGGCAAGCTGGTGAAGGAAACCAAAGCAAAGGCGCCTTCGTTTGGGGGAATGGGCTGTTTCCCACAGGAGAGAGGTTGGCAGGAAGACAGACACTCCTCTGTCTGTATAAGGAGCACCCCCTGCCTGCAATGTCATACCCGCTCCAATCAACCTCAACACCAACGCAGGCTGGGGCTGCCCGTCTCCCTCTCCCCAGCCCTCACTTTGTCGAAGGAAGTGCGGTTGTCATGCTTGGAAAAGAAGTGTTGCTGCGCTGGCTCCTTATAAGAGAGTGAGAAAGAAGGTAAAGGGGAACAATGATGCTTACCTGCCCCTAAGCTGTTACTTCAGGGCCCATAACGGAAGGAAGATGCTAGGGCCCACTACCCTTAAACTGCTAAGCTGCTAACACCGTGAAAGTTCAGATACAAATGAAAGCAACGCCTCATTTCTGGGACATTTTATCCTGGCACTTGTCCCCAAAACAGAAGCCTCTGGGGCCTCTGATTGAGGAAGGGGCTAAGCTAATTAATATGCAAGTCAGATCACAGCCCTTGTTTGCCAAAGATCCACAATAATTCCTCATGTTTGCAAAAGCCAAAGTCATCATAGTGGCCTGTGAGACCCACACACTATTGATCTCTCCATCACCTTCACCCACACACCAGCATCCTCACAGCTCCTCAAACATACCAGCTACTCTCACCTCTGACCTTTCCTTGTTCCTTCTGCTGAGCTGGCCACATGACTCCTTCTCACCTACCTCTTGGGAGGCCTTCCTTGAGTACCTCAGCAGCAGTCCCATCACCCCAACTCTGCATTTTTCACCTAACATACTA